ATTTGAATTGAATCCTTCCCTTGGATACACATTTAGATTTGGCTGATTCATACTCCCTCCGTTCAAGAATGTAATGCATTTTTTAAAAGTTAAATATTAAAAAATATAAGATATTTTTAATATTTTGAGGTGAATCATTATTTTTTTCAAAAGTATCCTATTGATAATGACTTTATATTTATTATAGGGTGTTTAATAGGGGTAAATATAAAAAGATAAGATTAATTAAAAAGTAGATAACTACTTTATTAGGGAATGAGATTAGGTAAAAAATACTTTATATTTTTTAATAAAAGGAGTATTCAAATTCATTTCTTATTATCATTTTTTTATAATTTCAATTCTTCTCTACATTCTAATGACTTAAAACTAGATTTTAGACCTATGCGATGCATTAGAATATTAATCCACATAGTTTAAGAAAAGTGGAAGAGAGAAGAGTAAAAGGTAAATTTTATTAATTTTTTTTAAAAGAAAAGAAAAAATAACTATATTTTTAATTTCTTTAGTAACTTATATTAATTATATTTTTTCATTCCTAGTATGATATAAGAATTTTTTAGGCTATTAGAATATACAAATATAAATAAAAATTTATTTTATTTTCACATAATTTATTTTAGAATATACAAAAAATATTACTAACAATTTATTATAAAAATGTAAGGTATTTTAACAAAATCTTACCTCAATAAAGTAGTCAATTATCTTTAAAATAATGTCTTCTTTTTATATTTTCTCTTGTCTAATAGGATATTTTATTTTAAAATAAATATAAAATAATTTATTTATTATGAACACTTAAAAAAAACACATGAATGACAACTTGAAACATTAAAAATACCTTATATTTTTTAACATTTCACATCCAATAATTCAAAAAATACTTCATATTTTTAAATAAGAGAGTGCAATTTAAATTTTAAAAAGATAAAACATAAAATATAATTTTAATTTTAATTTATGTTATTAAAAATTAATTTTTTAAGAAAATTTAATTTATAAAAAATGGAAAAAATAATTGCATCTATAGTGCCAATCCGACGCAAATTACAAATGAGAAAGATTTCAATCATTTTAGATCTCTTGTTTTCTCTATTTTTACTATTAATACATTTATAATTCTCGTATCTTCTTTTATCTCTAATCTCTCATTCTCATTTATCATTAATTAAAAAATAAAGGTAAATTTATCAACTTTTTTATTTTTGTTTCAAATCTCACTCATTTTTATTTTTTCATTTGAAATTTTTTAAATTACACAAACTTTAAATATGAGATTTATTTAAAATTCAAATTCAATTTTACCAGTTCAATTCAACTGCTCCTAACATATATTTGTAGGGTAAAAAAAAATAGAGCTGATAATATGAGTTGGGCCCGTGGACTCAATCTACCAACCCACAAAAAAGTTGTGGGTCGAGCTAAAGAAAATGAGTTTAATTATATGCAAAACGATTTTAGCCCGCCTTGTATAACTTGAACCCGCAGCGAGTTGGCAAGTTAGCCCACTTATATTTTTTTTAAAATATAGACAATAAAAATAAATGAGATTTAATTTAAAATAAAGCATTTAAAGTAAGCATACATGAAATTGCAATCTAAGTACTTGATACTTTTACATTTATTTAATTTAAGTTTAAATTATGTAGAAGAAAATAAAAACACATTGCTTATATATTTCAGTAGTGATATAATATATTATGAATGTGATCAAGACAAAATTAAATAAAATATTTTATTATACTCTAATTCATTCATACAATAGCTTATATTGTTTGCAAAATAGTACTACTTGAGCTAGCAAATAAAAAAAATTTGTTTGCCCTTTTTATTTAAAAAATTAAATATATTTATGAAATATTAACCATATATTATATTGTCATTTTAATTTGAACATAAAAGAAAAAAAAACAAATACAGAGACATTAGAACGTTTAGGTAATATGAACTAAATATATTATGAGTACTAATCTAATAGTCATAGTTTAAATTATCATTATTTTTTAAAAAAAGAGTTGATATTTTAATTTGTGGCATCAATTTTGTAGCAAAAATACCAAAATAAGATGAAGAGAAAAGGGGATAAATAGAGAATAGAGAATTTCTATCAATGCATATATATATATATATAATATTGATCAATCATATAAAGGATTAGAGAATAAAAAAATCACAACATTAAATTAATTTATATTTTAGTGGTGATATAAGCATATTTTAATTAGAAAAACTTTTATTATTATTTGGATAGTTAATTTTTAAGGGGAATATATGAACTTTTTATAGTGAAAAAAAATGAAAAGAGATAAATTTATAATTTTAAAAATTTTAAAAAATTATTAAAAATATTTTTTTACTTATAAATTGACCTGCTAATCCACCAACTCGCCTTATCAAACCCATATCTCACGGGTTGACCTATATTACCCATTCTAAAAAAAAGCATAAGATGGAGTATTTTTGCAGGACAACGATCGCATTGCATATTGCGCGGTTGACTCGGACTCGAGGACCATCATGTAGTTCGCAATTGGATGGGCTTCGTCAAATCAGCGGAGAACTACGCCCTGTTTGGTTTGTTAGAAGCATTTTAAAGAAAATGGAATTGAAAATGAAATTAGAACTAAAAATAGAAAAAAAAATGAGTTTAAAAGTATAGTTTGGTATGCTGAAAAATTGAAATGGAATCCTTGTGCCTGAAAATGTTAAAATACATAAATACCCTTAAAAATATAAATTAATAAATCAATTTATAAAATTAATTGTCATCCGTAATCCACTTCATCTCCATTCTCCCTGACATTCCTTTTCATTGGCATCTTCAACATGCTAAACAACATTTGCCATTGATCTCCATCTCATTCCCTTCATCAATCTTAACTTGTAGCAACAAATCAAGGAAGCAAGGCCGACATGATCGAGGGAGAAGCTTTGATGGAGGACTACTAAGGATATCTAAAAGAGGTTCCTTGTCGTCGACGTCGTGGATCCTAGTTAGATTCAAAGCAAATGACAGAGAAGACGAGAAGCTCCGTCGAAGAAGATAAGACACGATTGCGACAGAGAAATCAGTTGGTGGAGTATGGTTGCTAGTTTGCTGTGAATCAAAAGAGTGGAGGGCCACTCAGTGGTTGTGAGTCTGCGATGTTCTTTAAAATAGAGGATAGCAATTTTCAGATAAAAATCTAGTAGAGCAGTGCGTCCTAGGCAATCGCTGGTTGCAAGGAGGAAGGGTCGGAAGAGGGACGGTCACAAGTGAGTGGGGTAGGGGTCTACTTGATGGAGGTAATGAAAAGAGGAATCACTAAGAGAAGACGAAGATGATGAAGGCCATGGGCACAAAAGTTGGCAGATCCAAAAGTGCTGCTGCATGAAGGAGATGGCGGAAGTATATGAAAAATGAAGACGTGAAGGGGATGATGCAGTCATGGCTCGCAAAGGAGATTTAAGAAAAAAGTTAATGGTGTTTTGGTCTGTAAAATATAGGGGTCTAGCTAGCTCGGGACATTAATTTCCACCCTCTTTCTTGAAAATCATTTTCCAAGAATTTACTTGATGTCAACCAGATTTAGGAAAATGTGAAATTCCACTCTGTCCTCTTCCGGATGCAATGTTGCTGTACGGATCCTTTTAGGCATGTGATGGAACAAATGGGAATGTCTCAACAATAAATCAACGCTATCTGGAGCAGGCCAAAAGCATGCTATGCTCACTTCACCATTCTCCTCCTTCCAGTATAACATGGCCACAAGATAATGTTCAAGCCACCGATATGAGTTTGCATATGATACTTAAATATATAAAATTAATCATTTGACTAAACAACCTCTAAAGCATGTTATTATTAAAGCAAAGACAGTGTCAGGTGCTGATGCTGGGATTAAAGTTTCCATTCCCAGAATCCGCGGTCTCACACCATGCACGGCTCCTTTTTCCTACTTGCCTTGCTCCTTGCATATACAATTTTCTGTCACAGTTATCTTTTGAAGCGATCCTATGAATCAGTGTCAAGCTCAAAAACTTGTATAACACTGGCTTACGCGGGCCTTTTAGACATGGTCAGATTTACGTGTTTTTGGTAGAAAATTGCAAGTTTTTATTCCTAATCTTGGCGGCAATTTTACCTTGTGTTTATGGTTTAATCAACATGTTGACCGTGATGTCTTCTTCGTGTTCTATATGTAATTTACTGTGCAATATATTAATTTTTTTTGGACACCATAAACACCCCATACATCACATGAGGTGAAAAATCTAATTATGAATACATACAACGCATACAAGTTTCAACATGTAATTAATATTAATAAATGACTTTGGAATAGGAGTAACAGAATAACACAATTCTACTAACAATTTTTTATTTCGTATTAGTATTGATCAATTTTATTTCTAAAACTATAATTAAATTAAATAAATACTCTCTCTATCTCACATTATAAGATATTTTTATTTTCAAACAAAATATCACATATCAATAAATCTTATTAAATACACTTAATAATTTTATTTTTTAAAATAAAAATATAAAAGTTTAAAAACATTTTTCGTTTAATAATCTTAAATTTACACTTAATTGATATTAAACAGAGAAAAAAATAATAATATTAAATTAAATCTATTTGATAAAACTTTATTCTTCTGTAAGTATTTTACGTTTTAAAATAATAATTTTTTTAAAAGTATTTTATGAATTAGAACGGACGGAGTGAGTATCATTTTAGTGAAATCTCTGAATGCCAAGAAGTTCGTATTTATTTGGCGTGTGAATGTCACATTCTCTGATGAAACGACAAACAGTAACTTCCGCTCGCCGCTCGGACCCCAACAAGCTTTGCGCTCAATTGCTACGAGGGAGGGAGTGGGGAGTCACTGTCAAGTGTCAAGCGAAGAGACCAACATTCAGTGTCGAGGGCATTCCCGTAAAACCGCACGCCACGGAAAACCTGGCATCGGAAGTATTCCCACACCGAAGCAAAAAAGTCCAAAAGCCAATGGAATGCCAAGTAGCCAGAGAGAGAATAAAAGGGGGAGACCAAAAAAGAGAGACAGAGAAAGAAAGAGCAGCCCGGAGCCTCCGTTCCCCTTCACGCCTTCTCTCTCAAGCCAGACCCATCAGCAGCGATCTGATCGCTCAATTTTTGGAAACACTACTTTGCTGCATTCATTTCGACTTTGTCTCAAACCCTAAATCACACTTCCCCAGATCAATTTTTTCCCAACAATCTTTCATTTTCCTCTCGTCGATCATCTCATCGACGGCTTCCTTCCTACACTAACCCTAAAATGGTCGTGAGTGGTACTGCCTCCAATCATTCTCCTCGACATTCCCCTGATCACCTGAGCAGTCCTCAACCACGGCGTGCTGTGAGGTCCGCTGTTTCTTCGCCGTGGAACCAGATTGTTCGCGGTGAATCGGAGCCAACTGCTGCTGTCCCTTTGTCTCCGTCGCCTCCGGCGACGCTGGTTGAATCTTCCCCGGTCGCTCCGCCCTCTTTGCCCATGGATGATTCGAGCTCTGTCGGCGAGAGCTTGGAGAACGGTAGCCTGCCGAATGGCAATACCGGTAAGAGGCCTGCTTGGAACAAGCCGTCCAATGGGGTTGATTCTGAAGCTAAGCCGGTCATGGGAGCTGTTTCTTGGCCAGCCTTATCGGAGTCTACCAGAGCAACGATGAAGTCGACTACTGAATCACCAAAAGGGGGGGCTGATGGATCGCCCGAATCCCAGTTGCAGGTTTGGCGTTTTCTGATTTTAGTTTGTTGGAGATTGGGAAATGCTTGTGTTTCCGGTACCTTCATCTTTCCATTTTTTGGTTAACTTTAGTAAGAGCAGCGTAGTCGAGCTGGTGTTTCCTTTATTTTTTATCTGAAATTGAAATAACAATAACGGCAAGAGAGGATTATTCTTCTCATATCTATAATTTGCTGCAATACCTGTCAAACTGATTATTAGTTTAGTTTGGTTGCTGCACTTTTTTTTTTGAAAAAAAAGAAATAAATAAATTGAGAGGGTAATTGTTGTTTCTCTGTTTTAGTATGATATGAATGTTGATTTAGGATTGAAGTGGTTCATGTCCTTTTTGGTAGCTATATCAAAACAACCTTTTGCTATGCCGTAGCAGCCATATAGGTTTCAAAACACATTCATCCTTCGCATTCGTGGTGTCTGCGGGCTTGCATGTTTTTTGTGTGTATATTTTCTCTTTATATGATTTATATCTGCACATATATAGTTCTATTGTTTGAAGTGCCACTTACAGGGTGCTGGAATCACACCTTCCTCTTCACAAAGACAAGCTGGTGATAATGCAAACCCAAACAATGTGGTGCCAACTCGCCAGAAATCAATAAAACGAAATGGTCCAAATGCATCATTTAATGGCAGCCACCCACATCAATCTGCACCTCAAGTTCAAATATCTGCACCAGGTTTCCACAACACCTCTCCAAGGGACTATACACAAAGAAGTGGATTTGTGTCTCAAACCCATAATGTTAATGATCACCCACAACAGCGTAATTCATTTAGGAATCGTAATGGTGGTCCACACCAGCGTGGCGATGGTACTCATCATCATAACTACAGCAGCAGGCGTGAACAAGATCGTGGGAATCAAGATTGGAATACTCATCGTAATTTTAATGGTAGAGACACTCATATGTCTCCAAGAGCTTTTCCAAGATTTATGAGGCCGCCACCTCCACCTCCTCCTCCTAGTTCTGGTCAATTTATTCCCCCACCACCGGTGCGGCATTTTGGTGGTCCAGTTGGATTCCCTGGTAAGCTTTTTAATTTCAAGATCTCCCCCTTTTTTGGATATTGATATGATCCGTGACTATTTATTTTCAGAGTTAACGCCGTCAGTAGTATATGTAGCAGCTCCACACCCTGATCCACTAAGAGGTGTTCCTTTTGTACCACCAATACCACCTCATGCGATGTATTTTCCAGCTCCTGATCTTCAGTTACCTGCTAAAATAGTCAACCAGATTGACTACTATTTTAGGTACTGTTTTCACTAGCTAGATTTTTTTTTTTTCATTTGTTTTCTCTCTGTTATATTTAACTTTCTTTTTAAAAGTTAACTGTAAATATGCCATGACTTGCCTATTGCAGCGCCGAGAATTTAATTAAAGATACATACTTGCGGCAGAACATGGATGGCCAGGGTTGGGTCCCAATAAAATTAATAGCTGGATTCAAGAAAGTGAGTTGCCTGGGGTATTTCATTGCTTGCCCCCCTTTCTTTTTATGTAAGATGTTAGAGAGACTGTACACTTCTTAACTTTTATATAAAGGGTTGCTCTGATTTCAAGACACTAATGTGAGGATCATCTGTTATCACTTCCTGGAAATTATTGGTGATTAAATTGGGTGCTTCTTTGCAAGTAATAGGTGATGATTGCATACAACTAGTTTTAATGTTTTTTGTTTCCCGATGATTTTAGAGTTCCTATCAAATGTTATCAGTGGAAAGTATGTTATAAAGGCAAAAACTATGAAGTTTAGGGTTGAGGTTTTTTAATTGGATTTTGGACAGCAAGGTACATGTAGATGCTAGGTTCTAGGCCGGATGTGAGGATGCAAAAGCATCTAACTTTAATTTTGGCAAAGATAAGTTAGTCACGCTTGCACTTGTGTGATTCTGGTTATGGTCCTCAGTTTGACTTTCATAACTACTCAAGTGTGCTAGTTTGTTGATTCCTGTTTATAAATCTATTGGAAACAGAAAACAGGTATGTAAAACAGTGCTTGGGTGGCTTATACCATTTTCATTTCCTCATTGTCTAAATATGCTAATCCAACTATTACAATAGCGGCCAGCTTGCATGCTCTGCAGGACATATTCACAGAGGTCCATGTCTCTGAGTTAGCTTGCTGTCCAGGAAATATTTCATACTAGCATCCAGTTTGCCCGTACTCAGATTTCTGTGATTGCATTTCAGCTGTTTTTGGCTTATCATTTTAATATAGTTTGTTTCCAACAATAGATAGGCTTCATCAACTTTTTACTTGATTCTCTGAGTGATCTTCCCATAGCCATCACATTTATGTGAAGTGAAAATCTTTGCTGTTGGTTGTCTGAAACTTTCGGTTGTGCATTATACTTACTAATCAGACATCTCTACTTATTGAGCTTTATTCATACTTGCTTCTAAGCTTTGCCTTGTGATCATGACTTGGTGGGGGGAAAGTTTATGTCTTTAGATTGATGATCATGGTATTTTGTTTAACTGATTTTATGTTGTAGGCGTGCTGTAGCGAGAACCTCATCCGTAGAAACTTGAATGATCAGAATAACTCTATAAGACTGAGGATTAAACTATCTTTGCCTTTTCCTTTTCCTTTTCCTTTTCCTTTTCCTTTCCTTCTCTTTATCTTTTTCTGCCAACAAGGTATTAAACTAACTCTTAATTGGATGTTGAATTTTTTTGACTGATGGAGGTGAAATGGTGATATATGATTTGATGTGTAATTGGATTATTGTTTTGCCCTATTGGTGCCCATTTCTCTAACTCTACTTTGGCAGCCTTTTAAGTTTTAGGGCATTGTCTCTTATTTCTATGCTATATCAATTATTTGTTGAAATATTTCAACTGGCAAAGCTATCTCCATCAAGTAATATAGACCTCTTATGCAGCTTTAGTTGAGGGTGTGGACTTGTCTGGACTGCCACTAATAATGTCTGAGAATATTATGTGGCCTTGTTTATCATCATGTAGTGATTTTTATTGTTCTGTTTTTCAAAGTTTGGAGTGATATCCCCAAACAATATAAAAATTCGTCTACGTTGGATTGAGTTGTAGCATTGATCACTGCTAGATGGTAACATTTATGTCTCTATCAGGTCATGCAGTTGACTGACAACGTCCAGCTTATATTAGATGCTCTTCGAACTTCATCTGTTGTGGAAGTGCAGGTATTTTTTTTTTTTGGGGGGGGGGGCGCTTCATTCTGATGCTTGCCTTGAAGTTTGTTGTATACGATAAGTTTTAGAACTTGACGGCATCATTTTATTCTTTCATGCCATATTTGTAACGTGTGAATTTAAGTAAACTCAAGCATATGGTTGTCAAAGTCACATGACTCGTGAACTTGGAAGAGCTTTGCTATGTAACTGTAAGTGTTAAAATGTATATTCTCCTGTAAACAATTCTTAAAATGCATTATAAATTGCTAAAGAAAAGAAAAAGGAAAAGAATTATAGCATACTCAAATATTTAGAAATCATATCTAATCATAATAATTAATAGAAGATTTAAAATAAAAAGATTATGAGACCATGGAGTTCTTATGTATAACCAGTCAGACTACCTCCGCCGAAAAACAACCACCTACCTACCAGGCTTATGTTGCTTCTTTGGTTTCTTGCTCATGTTGACAGTATCAGGAATCTGAAAAGTAAGGATGCTTTAGATGCTTGAGGGTTTTGTTTAATGAAATGCAGAATTCTTTCCCATTTTTTGGTTAGGGCTGGATTTTCTTTGAAGCCATTGATTGGTAAGGAATAATGGCTGTGCTAGATCCTAGTAAGGGAGGACAGTATCATTTTGCGGATGTGGTTGAACTTGTTAAACTCAGTTCTAACTTGTCATTTTCTGAGTTTTATGCAAGTTATGTGAGTTAACAAGTGTTCCCACCCTAGAATCCTAAAATCATATGATTTCACATTTTAAAAATTAATTGTAACTGCCGTGCTCGAGATTTGTTTATGCAGATGGGGAAATGAGTTTATTTCACATTTTAAAATAAATTCTTAAACTTTATTTTATGACTTGATAAGAGTTTGTTTACATCAGGAAAATGAGCATTGCAATGTTTATCCCCTACGTTAATACTTAAATTGCATCATAAATTTGAAAAATAGAATGCAATATATGCAAATATTCATACATTAGAATCCAAGTGGCAATGGCTAGTTGCCTCACTGGCAACGCCACCTCCTTACAGACACGGGTCTAGGGTTCAAAGCTTACACTGGCATGTGTGTGTGTGAGTTGTAAATATTAAATTGATTAATCTAGACAAATGATAAGATTCTTTTTTCAGCAATAGCAGTAGCTGTAACAGCACTGAACAAAGAGGGGGAAAAGAAATTCACTTAGTTATCATGAATAAGCTTGGATAGATTATTTTAGAATATCGACATAAGATTACCAATGATATCTCGACATTAATAGCCTAATTTCTTTTTTAATATTTACGAGTGCAAAATAAATTGGAGGCTAGAGAAAATCAGGGACACGGACACAGGAAGCTGAGATAAATGGAGAGATAATTTATAAGTTGATTTTGACAACCATGTGTAATGGGTACCTTCTTTTGTGATTCAAGTTTCAATTCTTGATAATGTGATTTGTCTTTTGTCATTGTTTTATTAAAATAAAACAAAAAACATAATTTGAAATATATATACATATCATAGGGTGACAAAATTAGGAGACGAAATGATTGGAGCAGATGGATCATGCCTACTTCTGTTCACCCTCCTGATGTTCTAGGCTCTCAAAGCCTTGGCCAGTTTGGTCAGGATATGTTGTTAGCAGTGCAAAATATCTCTCTAGAGAATACAACTGGCGATCATGGTGCGGGACGGTTAGATGTTCCATCTGACACTTCACAGAACGAATCATCATTTGGTGATTTGAACAATCGGTTGCAGCTTTCCACTGTTGAGGCAATTGGTGAAGTTGGAATTCAAGGATCAGATCACACTCTTTCTGCAAGAAATTAATTGTAGATGTGCTTTAGCACAATTTTGCGCGGAATGTTTTTTAGAGGAAGTCAGGAAGCAGGAATTTAAGAATGATCTCACGATTTATGCAGAGAGCGACTTTGCACCAGGAGCAATTGGATGTATGATATTTCTCGAGGCATTTGGGACGACAATGCTGAAAAGACGAAACGAAAAGATAGCGGAAGAAAACAGATTCAGTTGTAAACCATTCCACAAAAAAGGCACTTTCCTTTTCCTCTTTATATATGGAGCTAGTAGCATAACTCTCTTGATTGCTTCTTGTTTTTATGGAGTGGACTCTTTGATGTTGGGATGGTTGTTGCATCAATCGGGGGATTTTTATTTTCTTTCCCCTTACTACCCCACAGCTGCTTTTTATAATCTTTGGGGTCAGCATTACATGTGAGATAGATCGTGGGTGTTGAATGCTTGGGCCACACAGTTGGTTAACTGCTTGTTTCCTCCGAAGATAAAAAAGAAGTAAAGATGATTCTGCAGCCGGAGCTTGTCCTGCAATTATGCTGTTTTTACCTCACATCATATTCGAAATGACATTGATGTTTATATGCTTTCAGTTTTTCTGGATTTAAACTTGCAGAGATTTCAAAGCATAAATGCCTCTAGTGGGCATATCAGAACTTTAATTATCCAGGTTTTAGCTGGGGTGATGTTGGGTTCTTGTCAATCTAGACTTTGATGTTGCATGCTTCTTAAATCCCAGCTGTTGGCTACTTTATCTGGCTGATTTATCACTATCTATTGTATCGATTTATTGGTATGATTGGTATCACTAATAATTTGTCTTCTTAAGCATAACTAGATGGTTTGTAAAATATTTTTGAAGTGACTAATATATCAGTGATTTAAAGGTATTTTATATATTGTATGCTGTATGCTGTGAGGCCCCTTTAATTTGGTGAAATAGGCGGAAGACACAGGAATGAGAGATCCTATAATTGTATTTGGTTTGGTTCAAGTTTGTTGAGACTTCAGGTATTTACCCTTCAGTTACCTTATTGGCTCACTTTGTTAGTGCAATGAATATATATATATATATATATATATCAAAAGAAGTGTATATTTGGTTGTTTAATTTTATGATGAGTTTTATCTAAACTTCTTAACATTGTTAAATAAGTTGTTATTGAAAAACAATGATATTATTTTTGAATAAAAGTCGATGTGTTAATTATAAAACGATTGCAAAAGTAAAGACCCTCCGAACGCTATCTGGGGGCCTAACAGTATGGTCTGGCTAAAAGTTACAAGAGCAAGTAAGAACCAAAACCAAATGAAAATGCACAGAAAATGAAGAATGAAGGAAACCAGAACATGACCCATTGCGTATGCTGGAGCAGCAAACAAGGAATCAGGTGGCTCATTCAAAAAAGATAAATAACCTTTCCGAAGAAAGGCCGAGAAAAATATTGAAAAGGCTTCATGAGCCTAAAAGAACATTGGCCTCCAATGAAATAGGAAATCAATATAAGGAAAAGTATCCCGCAAGATTTGAAAATCCCAAGTCATTGCTTTGGTTTAATAAAATAAAAGCCTTGTCTGTCAAGACCTGAACGAAACGAAGTGGGTCATGAGAACCTAGGAACATGAAAAAGAAAACCATACAAACTGATATAAGAGACTCAAAAGAAAGATGAAGAAACCAGACACGAGGACTACGAAACCAAAAGCTGCAGCGTCGGAGCGCCTGTTTCTGGACCTTCACGATGCTGCAATCCGTAAAGGTCATTGGAGGAATCATCCTAGCAAACGAGACTTTTCCGTTGAAACCTCGTGAAACCCAGAAGGCAGAGAGTGCTCCGTTTGTTTGTCGCTGAACAAAGCAAAGTTTCCGCTTGCAACAAGGAGAGCTTGGCAGATTAGCAGCAGATCCATTTGAACCAGCAACAAAACCAAGATCAGCAAACGAAGAGTGACTGAATTGGAGAGCGAACTGCATGATGCTGGAAAGTATTAGATGAATTCGAGTGACCTACATCGTGATCGTGGACATGCGCCAGAAGTCATTGAGCTTGCTCTGAAAGATGAACGTAACGCGACATATACTCAGTTGGTGGTCCCAGACTGAATGTTTTACTGGGTGAAGGAGTGCATAATTGTGCAGTAAAAAAGAGTGAAGAACTTAAAGCCCTCAAGTGAAATTGTAAACCTCTTAGAACCATTTGATGACGTCTCTGATGATGAAATTAAACTCGGCAGAGTAGGTACGTGGCAGCCAAAGAAAGTATGAAAATTTCCAGCTGTTAATAAATTAGACTGATCAGATTTCAAAATAGACAGCTGTGAGGTCACCCTGAGATGATCTTGAGCAGACGGAGATGCTTGAACATCTTGGCATAATTTAGATCTCTTAATCCAATCTAGTCCGTCCAAGGCAGATGCTGCCTCCCTCTTGCGACAGCTAGGCATTTCAAAGTCTTCAGCCACGAAGACACTTGGCGAGGCAACCTGGACTAAGTTTTCTTCATCACCGACTCGCGAAGTCCAAGCTTCAGAAGCATCCAAGAATGTTGATGAATAATGAAATCCTGTTGGGTCTGGTGGATCTCTAAACATCGACGGTCTGCAATCCGAAATGACATAAGAAGTGACCAATGACTCCTCTTGAAGGTGTTTTAAAAACCAAGATCTGGTGAATGAAATGAATAACTAGGAAGTAGATACGCCAGATTGTTGATGAACATGCCCAATGCAATGACAGTTGAAACATAATCTGTTAATTCGTTCATAAAAAATGAAGAACTCAAATTCATACCCGTCAGGAAAGAAAAACACCCTGCAGCTTTAAAGGCTGAGCAACGTCCACCAAAGCTCGGAATCTCATACCAGATGAGTCCTTAGAACAGTGGTCATCAAAAGAAATAGAAGTTCCCAAAGAATTACCAATCAAAGAGGCAAAATATTCGGAGTAAAACTGTATTGGTAACCCGTAGAGATTGTTCCGAAGAGGAACATGAAGCATGGGCTGCCAACGTTGCAGGATAATTAAACAAGCATTGATAACCCAACGTCCACTTTGGAGCATGAATTCTAGATCATAAGGGCAATTGAAAGAGAGCAGGAAACAATTGGCTGAAGACCGAACAACTTGTACATCTCCTCGTAAATCCCAGAACCGAGATATATAAGCCTGCAAAGGATGGAAGCGTCTTTGGTCATGAACTTCAGCAAAGAGGTAGTGAGCTAAGCCCCAATCACAGTTAAGAAGACGTCTGTCTAAGATAGTAGTGGAAAGAAAAAGCAAGGAACGCCACAATCAAAAGAGCAAGGCCGTCACCAACGGAGCTGATAGTTCAAACCAAGTTCGACAAATTAGTCTAACTAGGTTTGAAAAAATTCAGGAGCTTGGCCCAAATATCTAAATTTTTTTTATTTTTTAAAAATATATAAAATATAATAAATATTAATTAATTTTTTATGTTTTAAGTCATTTAATACTAAAATATCATATATTTGAAATTTATATATTGTTTAAATATAAAAATATATTTTTATAAAATAAAATAATTAATTTTAGAATAAAAAATTAATTATATATAAGTATTAAAAATAAAATTCGAGCATTCAGATTGCATGAAACCTAAAGGATATGTTTATTGAAAACTTATGCTTTTGTTCTTATTCATAAATCAATCTAATTAATATTAGAATAATATTTTTTATGTTTGAAATAAATAATTAATAATTAATGCTTTAAACACAAAAAAGTAAAACTATTTTAAGACAAGAAAACTATATAATAAATTATTTTAAAATATTTTAAAGAAATATTTTAACATTAAAAATCATTTAAGTATTGAAAAAACATATTTTATATTTTTATAAAATAAAGTAATTAATTTTAAAATAAAAAAATTAAAACAAATTTTAAAAATAAAATTTGAGTATTCAGGCTACCTGAAGCATATGTTTATTGAAAACTTATGTTTTCACTGTTATTCATTAGTCTATCTAATTAATATTATAATAATATTTTTTAAGGTTTGAAATAAATAATTAATAATTAATGCTTTAAACACAAAAAAAAGAAAAATATCTTAAGAAAAAAAATAACTATACAATAAATTATTTTAAAAATAGTTTAATAAAATATTTTAACTTTAAATATTCCAGCTTTGCTGGAAAATTTGGCTTGTAAACATAAAGGACAAGAACTGAAATTCGAATTTTTTTTGAAATAAAGTATGTTAAATATCTTAAAATAAATATTTAATGTCTTAAATTAAAATATTTTGAATGTTCTTCTTTTTTTGGTTTCATATATCCTTCTATTAAAAAAAATCATGTTTAAAATATGATTGAATAGTGATGTGAACAACTATTCCAACAAAAATTTGGAGTTGGTTCGTCACATTGTGAAGGATTGGACAGTTTTACTAAACCCTACCTTGTTAGTAATATTTTGAATGTTCTAATTATTTATTTTAAACCTTGAAAGTGTTAATTATAATTATTATCTAATTAAAATATGATAGTAGTTAAAATATAGCCTTTGAATATTAATGTGTAAACGATCACTTTCCAGCTTCCATGAACTTATTCAACGGGATTAAAAAGCAAGAAAAAATTTGGTAGCATCTTAAAAGAGAGAGAATCAATATGAAAGTTGATAAAATTGAGGGGCTAAAATGAAAGATATTTTAAAATTAAGAACCAAAGGTACACCAATCTCTGATGGTTGAGAAGATGGTATCAATTCTGAAAAGCTGCGAGCAGTGGCTCAGTATGGCTCATGAGGAAGGACATTGTGTTTGTGCCCTTCCATTGCCGTGAAATTGTGCTTGCCTGTGTCAAGCTGGACAGTTCTGGCCTGAGTTTTCTGCAAAGCATCTATCCCATTGCTATGTTAAGTTTCTTAAAATCTTCTTCACGAGAATGGACCAACCCTACATTTTTATTTATTTCTTGATTTAGTTTCCTAAATCTATAATTGATAATATGGGTGAACCCATGACTCATAGGATTAGCCCATAGCAAGTTATGGGTTTGGTGGGGCGAGTTAACATAACTCTCATTTTGCATGGGTTGTATTTTTACCAATTAACAGTGCTCACTAACCCACCAATATAAAATAATTTTTATATTTATTTTTTTACATTTGAAAATTATAAATTCATTATAATTAATGTTAAAAGTTTTATCTATCATTAATTAGTAGCATCACACAATTAAACATGAAATATAATTAACTTGTAAAAGTTTATAAGATAAAATAAAATTTAACATTAATTTGAGTAAAGGTTAGCGAGTTAAACTTTTTTTTTAATAGCTGAGAAATTTTGAGTTTATTGAAATAAAATATAATAACAAAGATGATATAATGAAAAATAAAGTTAGGATTTATCCACAACTTGACAACTTAGTGACTCATAATTTAAAATAAATAAATAAATAAATGACTATATTGCTCTTGCCTATTTGAAAATATTTTACTCAAATTAAATTGTAAAAAAGTCTAGGTTGGGTATATGCTACACTAATACATTTGACTAGTCATGAATTTATAGCTATTTTAGGTAATTAAATGTAACAGGTAATAATGACAGTAGATAATAAGTACATAATTTAAATTATTTTAATAATTTGAACAATAATGAAAGTTTGCGAATTAAGAGAATGATTCTATGATTCTTTCTTTTATATATATATATATATATATATATACATGCAGGTCAATCCATAAATTCACGGGTTAGCCACCGCGTGTGCTGTTGGTTCAAATTAACCATCTCGTATAAAAATAAACTCGTTTTTTTCAACTCAATTTGCCTTTTTTGCGGACATTACCAACTCTATCTAAATCTTTATAACCAAATCTAAAATCTCCCTCAAACATATTTACATATTTGATTTAGTTTCTCGGAATTAAGTATTCTTCAAACAACCACTCTAAGTTAATATTATCATTATAAACTCTTATCTTTTAAGTAATTGAATTGATTTTTTATTTTTATATAAATAAAGCAAGTCTAGTAAAGAGATACTTATCCTGTTTCTTCCTTCATATATTAGGATTTTTTTTTAATCAAAAAAAGACGCGTAAAAGATGAAATGGAGTTCCACTATTAGTCAACTTTTGGCACGGAAATGCGTGCGCCCCATGTTGGCATCAGAACCCGATATGACCGCAAGCGCAAAATGGGTAACAGACTCTCCGTTCCTTTTCTTTTATTTCTGTCTTCTTGTGTTTTTTTAAAATCACACCATCTAAAGAGCATGAATTTAACTTGGATGACTAAATTATGGACATAATTAGGTTTAATCCATGTACACAATTGCATGAGCATATATTCGGTGCGTGGAATCAAATAATCATTATATATCAGTGTTATCACCATCTTCTTCCATTGCAAGATCCAAGAAAGCTCCATGGAAGAGTTCTGGAAAGACATTAATCACGTTCCTCTCATCAGTCCCCACTATGTTCCTTCCTCTTCCTCCTCATCACCCTCTCCTTCTCCTTCTTCAGCCTCCAAGCTCCATGGATTCCTCGCCCAGCCCCCTCGCATTGACTCGTCTTCTTCCTCTTCTGCTAATCCCAAATTTGCCTCCTCCGCTTCTCTTGTCCCTTGCTCCACCCACAAGAGGCTCTCCGAATCTGACTGCGACAGGCGAAGCAAGCGTATGATCAAGAACCGCGAATCCGCTGCTCGATCTAGGGCTCGCAAGCAGGAAAATATTGCTTCTTCTTCTTCTTTCCATTCTCTCGTTTCTGAATTCCTCTTGCCTTTTATTTCTGCTTCTCTGATCTTCTTTCTTTCTGCAGGCTTACACGAATGAGTTGGAGCAAGAACTCGCTCTCTTAAAGGAAGAGAATGCGATGCTCACAGAACAGCTACAACGGGTAGGCTCTGTATATATTATATACGTTCTGTACAAAACCGTGTGTGATGATCAAGGTATTGTTATTGTTATTGTTATTGTTATTGTTATTATTTTGGTTGGTGTTGTAGATGGATGATGCTCCTACAACGAGCGAACAGAAGCTGAAGAAGCCTCCGTCTCGAACATTGACTGCTCCATTTTAAGAAATCTTAGCTTGCAAGTTCCGGCCTTGGTTTTGTACAAATCCGAATGTCTGGGAGTGGATTCTCTGCAGCCATATTTTTATACAGAGTGCTTCAGATTCGGCTGCACAGAAGTCTGCAAAAAAATTAGCTGCAAAGGATTCATTTCCTTATGATGATATTGGAATTGATGATGGGTTCTGTGATGTACTTGGCTACTTGCTGCTGTTGTTTATAGATCATCTTTCAAAGAAAAGGTCAATAGATATATGTACCATATTATTTGTCATTTATGTCAGTATTAGTATGCCGTTAGATACTTAGATCTTGTGTGTTTTGTTATCAATGTGTAAGTCATGATGTTATTTATTAGTTGATGAACAAACTTTTGCTATTGCGTAAACAATTATTATACGTACTGATTATGATGCGCTATATTACTGTAAAAAAAAGTATGCGAAATATAATACAATGGCATTGTCAAAAAATAATAGAACGAATTGAGTAATTGATATATATATATATATATATATATCTATCTGTGAACAATAAACCTCTTATTACTGTTGACAAATCTTAATTCTAAGAGTTGTCAGGTGTTTAGGCATGATCACTTTCACAAATGCCATTTTTTTCATATACAAAACTCCGGTATAAATCCTATTCAAAGAGAAGAAAAATATGATTTTAAGATTAACATTAAGAAATATTTATAAAATATTATTATGGAGATGACTCTTAAAAAAAATCTAATAATTTGTAAATTTTATATTTATAGGTGAGAGGAGAGGGGCGTCATAGAATAAAAAATAATGAGAATGATGGAAATATTTTATTATTTTTATAACTAAAGGACATTATTTGGCTAATCATAATAAATTTATTAAATGAATAAATAATAAGAAAATAATTGATAGAGTGGGATGAGGGGGAAGCTACCAAAAGTGTACGAAGCTAGTCTGAAAGCAAAAGTGAAAGATGGGACACTTTGTCCTCTTAGGAACATTTTTTTTTTTGGTCAAATGTTCTCTTCCCAGCATGCTGCAGTCAAACATCACCATGTCTCTTTTATCTCTTCGCTTGCTTGCCGCCCTTTTTCCTCTTCCCCAATCTTAACCATTCATCAACTCTGATTAAAACAAATTTATTCAATATAATAATATTAATAGTCATAATTAAAAAGTAAAAAGAGAGAGAGAGAGTGAATAAATAGAGAGATAGCCTTCATTTCTTCTCCACATTCTTTTATCTCAGGAATTTATTTAGAATTTAATGACAACTTTTAGATAACTATTTGGCAAAGATTCAATTTTTTAAATAAAGTTTAAAATGTAAATATTGTAAATAAAAAGTATACTCACTTATTTTTGTAACTAAATACTCATTCAATTTGTTTGATATGAATTATTTTGCAAAAAAAATGGATAATATGCCAATGAATTTTGAGATATTTGCCAAGGATTTGTAATTACTATAAATCACAATTAGTTTCAAATTATGTGCAGTGCTGAAAAAATATATCTACTTATAAATAAAAATCAGTATTTCTACTTTGATCGTGAACTTCTTGTGTGAATTCATAATCTCCCCCAGGATCTCTTCCTTCCCAAATGTTGTTTTATGGATCAGTTTCCTTTATAAAACCAACTTTGAATGTCACACTTTTGAGTGTTAGTTGGTCATAAATGATAGTTTTAAGAATTTTTATTCAGTCTTTTGCTAATAAACACCCTTTTTATTGTTATCCATTTATTTAGGAAGGAATGTTCTTATCCCTGCAATTCTAATGAGCTCGATTTTTTTTTTAAAAAAAGGGGGGGTCAAAAGACTTTTTAATTTTGTATTCTTTTCATTTACATGTTATCTTTAATAAATTTTATAAACCCATTTACATTTTTCTCTACTTAAATTTATTAGAATCTATCCTCGCGTCTATTTCCCTCGAACGAAACAAAGGATAAGCGTATCATATTGATGGGGACTCTGGTAGTATTACCTGAATAGCTTGACAGTATTAATGAAGGATAAAACTTGCATGGTTTGTTGTCATTTTGTTGTAATGAGACAAGTCTTTCCATCCTGAACTAGGCCATTTAACTCAACTTCGTGGTGATGATTATGAAGAAGAAGAAAAAGAAAAAGAATAAATTGAATTTTACTTGATTGGCAGATGCTTTTGATATGTAATATTAGGTTAAATAGAATGAAAGAATAGGAAACAAATTTAAAAAAAAACATAACTTTAATTTTCTATACTTTATTTAAATTTTATTATAAATTCCTGTATGTTTTTATATTTTAGATTTATATACTTTTATTTTTTTATATTATGGGTTCTTCTATGAGTGATGTAATGGAGATATAAAATATCTGAAAAATAAAAATATGAGGATTTAAAAAAGGTGCAAGAACTTAAAATCATATATTTTTTTCTTTTTTTAAAAAAGTAAGAAATGTAGGAAGAAAGGGGCGAAAGGAGATGATGGGAAATGAGAAGGAAGTGGGAGGTAGTGTGGGGAAAGGACAAGAATAATGGGGAAGGGTCGAGTCAGAGATTGAAACGTGGCAGTGCCAGCTTGGAGCACTATGTCACTTCCACTGCATCGCATGTCAATTCACACTTGTCAACCACTCTCATCTGATCTCATCTCCATATTCTCTCGTCCTTCTCCCCTTCTTTTGCTTTGTTTTTGTCCCTTCCTCTTTTTTCCCCTTTTCTCCTGTTTTCTTCTCTTTTTCTCACTCCAACACTTTCTCTTCCCCTTCACATGTGACTTAAATCTTACATGCCAAATCTAAGTCTAATGCATCAGTCACCACGCCCACACAATTTCCCCCCGGTTACGAGGAGGCAATAATTAATGGGAGAGTGCTTGGAGGTGAAACAAAGGGCTTCTTTGTAAAGATTAGTCTATATTACAAATCATTTTCATAAACCCTTTATTCAACCTAGCATTAAATGTTTTGGCCAAGCACATTTAAGAATAAATTTCTAAATGCATGCTTTTTACATATAATACAATTCCAATTAAAGAGTTAATTAGAGAATAGGTGAGCGCTAAACTTGAACTGTGGAACTCTTGATGAAAAAACATGGGAAAAAATTATTTAAAATGATTATTTAATTTAAAAAACGGATGAAAGTACTAAAAGGATATTATCTAGGAGTGAACGAGAAGGGTTGAGGAAATTACCTTTAGCACCCACTAAACATATGCAGATGGGAAGGGTGACCAAAAAGAAGATTCTAGGAAGCTACCAAATAGTCTTATTTATATGATAGAGAGAGAAAATTAATTTTAATTATATTTATATAACACCTTATTATTTTTATATTTATCTCTACTTTTTTATTTTTATTAAATGCGGAGGCTGAAAATCATAAAAGGAAAATAACCAGACTTTCTATTAATTTTGTTTACATTGATTTGGGGTGTAGAAAGAGAAAGTAGATTCTCTACCCTTAAATAAACTTGTTCGATGCAGGAAGTGCCTCGACTACTTTCCTTTCTACTCAAGCATGCTGAAACCGATGTAAAAAATAAATTTTTTATGTTGACAATTGCTAAAACAATCCTAAAACTAGTGTAAAAGTCTGACTGTTTTATTAACTTTTTGTTCGTACGTTAACATCATGAATGAGTGTTCATACTACGTAGAGTTGATTGTCTTTCATGACGATGAAATAAGAAAAGTTTATGCATGTAAGTTAATAATTAAGAATTAATAATTTGTGAGGGAATTAATATTTTTTACTTTAAAATCGAACTCTCAGGTCTTAGTTTTAAATAAGTACTCTTATTCTTAAATAACCAATAAACTTTTAAACTATTCTTGTATATATATCTATAAAGTTTTACTTAAAAGATTAAGTGTTTGACTTGATTTTAATTTTATAATGATCCTTTATTTTACTTAAAAGATACCTCGATTGATTTTAGAATAAAAAATTTAAATTCTAAGAGCCTTTATAATCGTCTAATGTTAAGGCCCTTATTCTTTATTCTAAAATAACTTATTCATGTATTTGATTCTTATTTTCAAGGAACCACTCTTTTGCACATTTGGGAATAGCACTCATTATTTTATGAATAGTGTTTTCTTTTCACAAAAGCTGTTACTTGATATTCCATTTTGAAACATCCTAGTTTATTGAGGAATTATTTAAGAATAGCTTCCCTTATTCTCAAATAAAGTTATTCAATTCATCATATGTGTAAACTTCTTTCAATATAAGAGCGATATTTCAAAAGAGTCAATCTTGTGCGTCTAATAGTTTAGTTTTTCATTATTTTAGAATAAGCTCACTTATTTCAAAATAAGCATAAAGATTTATTCTCTATTTTGTGACTGCTTATACGTCTCTCTCTCTTTCTTTATCTCTCTCTCTCTCTAAATATTATTTTCACTTCTTATGAGTTGTGTTAGCTTTCTATTCATTCTAAAAACCTTCTGAGCACAACATCGCAGGTTAGATTCAATACTTCTTGATTATTCAAAAAATCCTTATTCCTAAATAGTCTTTATTCTTTAGAAAATAAACTCTCACCTAACTTTGTTATAACATTTAGTGCAAAGAGCCATTATTTTTTCTTACTTGATATGGGAGAGAAACTAAGCTTTAAAGCACCATGCCATTGTCTATTTTCTTGAGACAACTCAGAAGAGAAAAGACGATGACTCTGATGATTATATTTATGAGTATGATGGATCATTCATAAAAACATTATATAAAGGCGCATTTATGAAGACGATGAACAAGAACGAATACTTGAATTATCACATGGGCTATTTCATTTATTTTTTTTACCAATTTTCTAAATTTGTATTCATTACAAGTGAGCTTCGTTGATTGTAAATGAATTCTTTTAAAAAGCATTTGGTAAAAACAGTCCATTCTTAAACTTACTTCATTTATTTATAATTTTTATTCTTGAAATAGAGGATTTTAAATTTGGGGAGCTTGATAAGGTTTAATTATTACTTTTTGTAAGGGGAGTGATGCAAACTTAAATGTAAATCTAAGATTGTGTTGAAGCAACTAAGAATCTGAATTAATCTTGATAAAATTAGTGGAAAAAATTTCAAACAATATTCGGGGATTAGATGTAAGCTTGAGTAATTAAAACCAAATGAAAATAAGTGATCTAAGCAAACTTCTCTTCATCATTCTCTATTGTGATTGGTAATATTTTTCTAAACTCATATGTTTAAAGTTATTTAAATTAACCAAATTTCTATTAAATCCAATTCACCCCCTCTTCGAACTTTCTTTGACAACTTGAAATCCAAAGTTACAATAGCTAGTTCCAACTGTATTTGTTGCACATTATTAACATAATATTCTCTTACACAAAAAGCCTTAAAAAAAGGGTATTTTCAGAATTCAAATATTCAAAACCACCGAAATTAGAAAATAAATGGTCGTCATAAAGGACGCTAGCTACTTATCAGAGCAACAAAATCCCATATTATTTGCTCAAAAAAAAAATCCCATATTATTCAATTAATGGAGCATGCCTGAACACGCGCACACAATTGAGCGTGCGTGCGACCGTGTCCTCTCGTTTTCGTCGTGGGCTGGAGAGGACGAGGAAGTGTGTGTTGGCCTTCACCTTCATCGTAAGCTCATGGACTTTTAGCAAATGGGCCTTTAGGTTTGCGAGTTCGGCCGTTCAATATCACGTGTAGAGTTCAAACCCTTTATCACGCCCACCCTTTATGCTCTGTTTGAATGGAAGTAAAATATGGGAGAAAAAAATATAAAAAGAAAATAAGGAGAGAAATAAGTTTTTTTTCAGTTTAAATGAGGAAAGAAAAGTGAGATGAAAGAAAAATGAAGGAGAAAAATGAGACGTGAGATTCACCACATTTTCTCTCTATAAGTGGAGAGATTTTGAAAGTAAGAATTTTATTCCATTCTCTGCCCCTCCTCTCTCCCTCTCTCATCCATCATTTTCACCCCTCTACTAAAAACTCATCATCTTTAAACCAAGTACTGGCATCATATTTTGCCTAGGCATGTTCTTTCTCAACCTAGGTAGCTTCAACTACATCATCATACACTCTTCTTTTTCAATTTCATGGTAACAATCGGGAAAAGCAACTTCAATAATTGGTGTATAATTTTTATTTTATTTCTCTTTTCTAAATCCTTTTGCTATTGAATTCCAGTTCGGTAGAATGGTTTATAATTCTTTTATTTTAATTTTAATAAATTATTCACTTTTAATTTTTAAATAAAAAATATATTTTTAGTAAATTATTTTTTTAAATATGATAACATGAAAAATATTTTTAATAAATAATATGATTTTAAATTATTTTGGTGAAATTAGTTTTAATACAAATTTTTCCTAAATTTATTTTTATAAATAATTATATGAAATATAATATATTTTGATGTGAGGGCATTATAGTCTTTGTAATATTTGTTCATTTTCTTTTCTCTCTATTTTCTTCTATTTATCAAAACACAATAAGAGATAATATTTTTTTTTCAATTTTTTTCCTTTTTTATTTTCTTTTCTCTTAACTTTTTTTCTTACCTGTCTTTCTTGTGAAGGACTGAGGATCCAAAGATGGGTTTCCCCAGTTTTGTTTTTGATATATCCCAGCTTGAAACCATAATTGGATGTGTTGCTTCATGTACCAATTTAATATTTCCTTCGTTTTACATTATAAAATATTTTTAAAAGAGATTTAATATTTCAAAATATAAGATACATTGACAAAAATAATATTTTATTAATAATATCTTTTTAATATTATTTTTTAATATATTTTTTTCTTAATATTCTTTCACAAATGATAATGGAGTATTGAATTAAGGATATTTTTTATAATTTATATTTTTATTTTAAAAAAATAAAGTTATAAAGTGTATTTAATAAGTTTTATTGATATGTGTGATTTTATTTAAAAATATCTTAAAAATTAACATAAAAAATAGTAAAATATATTGTTTGTGACTTGTGAGAATTGTTTGACCAAAGAGAAGACTTATGAAAATTGCAAAGTATAATTTATGTTAAATTGCACCTTCAATTCTTCAATTTTACATTAGGTTTTATTTTGGTCATTTAATTTTATGAAATTTTTTTTTCAGTTGTGCAACTTTAGTACCATTACAAAAATTCTTACATTAAACTTTTAAATATTAACAAAATATTATTAAATTTAATTCTTTAAAATTATAATGATTGGAAAAAAATTATTTAAAACTAATAGTGTTAGTGTTAAAAGAGTGAAAAGCTACTTTCTAAAATTAAGAGATCAAATTGAAATTCTATATAAAATTAGATGATAAAAAAATTTATACAAAAAATGATGTGTTTGTTAAGATGGTCGATCGGGGCAAACCAAACGCGCAATGGCTATGAAATGTTGTTGGATATTTGTTTCAAAATGACTATGTCAAAGGATTCAAATTTTATACAAAACTCATCTGAATAATTTCAAAAATTTTAATTACTGCCGAGAGTTAAAAGTTATTGTCACATTTTGATAGCAATTTCCCAAAACTGTTGAAGTAATTTCTTTTGCAACTTTATTATATCATGTCCTTAAAATTTGGTTGCTACTTTTGATCCATACTTTGAGACTTAAGAGTAGTTATAATCCTATTGTCAACTTTGTCAAGTATAAGCTTCTGACGTAATTTTCCAATGACCTGGAAGATCAAAATGTTCATGCAGACGCCTTCAAGGATAGATGCAGCTCTGTGTATACAACGTATTTACTGTTAAAATATTCATTTTGAAGTGCATTCTCGTGGACCTTGTGAAACAGAGGTTTCTTGAAATAGTTTTCAATCGGCAATGGACAACCAGTCAACTACTGATATAGCCTCACTACCTAATTACCAAATCGATAACAGAGATTCAAGAGACGTATTTAGAACTGAATGCATCACTGTATGTTCAAAGGTAGATATGAAAGAAATTTTAAGTACAATAATAACATGTAACCCCCACGAATTATTTTATTCTTTCTTTTTGGATGCATGAGTGCATACAATATCACTTATCCTAAAATCACACGCAAAGAGTTTGATTATACAAAAAAGAGAAAAAAAGTGATAATAAGTGTATTAAAGTGATATGAACCACTTTGACACCCCCCCCCCAAAAAAAAAGCGATATGAACCACATGCATACATAGTCAATTTTTGTTATCACTTTTTTCTGAATGTGAATGTATCACGTTAAAATCACGCCCAAAGAATCGAATTTTGTTCACCAATAGCACAAGTTAGGGGGCGAAATAAATTCCATATGAACAGGATCGAGCTGCAAAAAAGGAAAAAAAGAAAGTCTGTAATTCATAACTTCGGAGAAAATTAAACGATTATAGCAGCCATTTTGATTAAACGGCTGTAAATTCTGATATTAACATTCTTCACCATCAGCAATTCTTTACTAATATCCACTTGTTCTTTGGCACCCATAAAACATCACAGATGGGTCCATTTCATCTAAGCTTCTGCTTAGTCTTAGATCATCATATTCAATATAATCAAAACTTGATGAAGGAGCAGTGCCCTTATCTGGACTTGAACTCATTATTAGAACAAGATGGATCATTCAGATACCAGCAATATGGAAAGAAGAAAACCATATTACCATATCCTCAGTGAATTCTGCAGAAGCAAGAGACTTGTTCTCTTCTGCTACCATTGAGAAACGACACAGAGGACACGTTTTGTGGCGACCCTTATTAAGCCATTTATCAACACAAAGTTTATGGAATCTGTGAAAGCAAGGAAGAACCTTCGTATCGTCTTTCTCCTTCAACCTTGACAAGCACACGCAGCACCAATCAATTTCAATCAACCTTGGTGCTTGGTCTGCTGATTCACTCGCAATTGCCTGCTTCTGATTGATCTTGTGCGGCACAAGACCAATAAAATCGAACACGAGCGAAACCAGGCCTGTAAGAGTCATTTTGGTTCAACGAAAGCCAAAGATGTCAATCTGTGCTAAGACTCTTATAATAAGGCATATAAGCTATTGATTAATTTATTGTAGCTGCATCACAGTTGATTACAGTCTTCTTATTTAGTCACAATGTTAGTTTTTTGCTTGGTTTGAAAGGGTGGTTGGCTGAGGTGTGACAGCTTCAGTGTTCCAAACACGAAGCGGTTACACCAACAGAGAGTGTTACTCTTGACCTATATATATATTACGTTATTTCTCTTAAGGGAAAATTTGCTCCAAGTTACGTAACGCTTGAAATTAAGCATAGTAGTAGCCAGCATGGGTTAATTAGTTGTCTGTTTTCCTTATAATGTCTCTTTCATTCTTTTCCAAGTGTTATTGAATTTGACATTTCAGAGCTGTCCCAATATCTTACCTACTTGTCAGCTAAAAGAATCAATGCATCTCTTTGAAAAAAAAAAAAAAGGAATTAATGCATCATTCATCACACAAATATTTAAGAAGGGCTTCGTAACAAGTGAAGAAACCAAGTGTCAAACCCAGTGGGATAAGGGAAAATTATTGAAGCTGCAACTGCAAGAAGGTTGATGATTGGACATAAAGGGGGAAAAAAAAAAGGGAAGTATACTAATATATGATATTTCCATATAAAACTTGAGTGCATTTTCTAGGAAACAGATATTAGGAAAAGAGGTCATAATAAGAACATAGATCAAACCACAACTTCAAATTTCAAATGAGAATTAAAATGCGTGAAATTAAAAATTAAATTAAGTTGGGATGTGGACCGTCGGAATAATGATAAGGACCTCCATGGAATCCATTCTACATAAGCCCAAAAGGTGGCTTGACCCAATCAAATAATACATACTAGGCACACCGGCCCGATATGATATGGTGGAATAAAGCTATATGTTCCACTTCTATGGGAAATCGAACGTTGGCCACGCAATTTCGTCTGGCGTATCAGATTAAACAGTATCACGTGGTCAACCTCATTTAGTAGAGTCGGGTAAAGCTCGTTATTGTTATTGTACTAGATCAGGTCACGCTGCCTCAAGAAAATACATTGTGTAAATGTAATTTCTTTTCTGAGAGTTTTTGAGGCTTCCAAGGACGTTTGGGTTGCCAATCTCTGAGGATGATTTTAGGCTTCTAAATTAAACATCACTGGACCAACACATGGTCCATCCAAACAAGCCCTCAAGCAAATTCCAATCGACTTGGATGATCTTCATATGTTCGACCCCGAAAAAAGAAAAAGAAAAAGAAAAAAAAGGATGCTCTTCGAATGAAAGAGCACCAACGTTATCATCAAAATTCAAAACAGCCTGCGGTGCCTGGGTGTGAACAACTGACACGTGGCAAGCCCGAATATTTCATCTTCACCTGAAGCCGTGTCAAAGAAATCGATCATCCCACTCGCATGCAACTTTTGGTTGCCGAAACTAAAATATCTACGTTCATCATATCCGCAGGAAAAATATCTACGTCCACGTTTCGCCGTACTACCATTCTTCCCGAACTTTCCAGCATTTGCCGAAACCTGCAAGACTTTCTTTTTCGCAGATATTTTTAGAGTTTCTAGAGCCCCAACTTCTGCAACCGCCATTAACCTTTATAAATGCACCTAGGGTTCCTTTTTTTTCGTTCGCTGTCGTTAGCAATGAGTTCTTGTTTGTGACTGCACTCGTCTGTTTTGTTGATTGAAGCAATTCTATGCTCTTTGCATTTTGGTGGTTGTCTGTGTTCGATGGTTCGGGGTTGATTGCATTCGGTGATATTGATGGACGCTGATTCTGACGCAGTAAGCTGCTCATCATCATACTACAGCATTCTCGGTGTCGATTCGGATTCTTCTCTTGAAGAAATAAGGCGCGCTTATCGTAAGCTGGCAATGGTATTTAGTAATCAGTGCTTTCCTCTAATTATTAGCCCCTCGTTTTTTCTGATTCCTTGAAGGCAAGATTAGGACAATATGTTAGAAGTCCCGATGATTGAATCTTTCGCCCTCTTTCTTTCATAGTTTTGATTCTTCATAATTAACTTGAAATTAATTTTTGGTTAGTCTGCGTATGCTATCTATCTGTGCTTCCAATTGAAAGGATTTCACTCAATCATTTGCTCGAGAAGAAATTGTGGTTGAAGAAATGTGTAGTTGCAGACGGATAGGTTCTGAATTTTTGATTCAAGTCTGGGCTATTATTTAAGCTGATATTTGGGACAATGTAAATATTGTTGGACAAAGGTACTGATGTAATTGGGTTTTTCTGAACCTGATGTAGCGATGGCATCCGGATAGGTGGACAAGGACACCTTCTCTACTGGGTGAGGCAAAACGAAAGTTCCAGCAAATCCAGGAAGCCTATTCAGGTATGATGATTTCGGATCCTCTACCAACTTTTTTAGATAATCTTGCACTTTCAAGTTTTTGGTTTATATCTCTAATTCTATATATCTCATGGGTCCGTACTTGGGCTTCGGTTTTTTGTCGGAATAATTTCACTATAACTAAACTTTTCCCCGACTCTCATATGGAGCAGTATTATCGGACCAAAGCAAAAGAACGATGTACGATGCAGGCTTGTACGATCCCCAAGAAGAAGAGGATGAGGTAAGTGCTTGTTCAGGAATTGCGCTTCTTTCGATCGATATGTGGGGTTCAGAATGACCCTAAAATCACCTTTTGTTTGTTTTTTATGATGTTGATTTCAGGGGTTTTATGATTTTGTGCAAGAACTGAAGACGCAAGTGAGCAGAGAGGTATCGTTCGTAACCCTGTCCGAGTATCTGCTCTGGTGTTGAAATTAACTTTCTGCCTTCCTTTTATATGGGTTTTATTTTTTATTGATTGGGGCGTTCAATTAGCAGTAATTACAACGCGAAAAGAACTAAGTATGGCCGTGGTATCACTTGGATGTTTTCAGTCAGAAAAAAGCAGGGAAAAATATCGACATATGTTTGTGTGGTGTGTGGTGATTGGTGCAGGAACGGGTATACAGTATAGAGGAGTTGCAGAGCATGCTAATGGAAATGGTTCAAGGATTCGAGGATTCTTCATGGCATTTCGGAACCTCACCGGTCGAAGAGGAAAGCCAGTGCTCAAAGAGGGCCCGGCGGGATTCGAAGGCCAATGTAGGGTCACATTTTCAGGAGCCTGGGTTTCATTTCTATGAAACGAGGGGTTACTGTAGCTAGGCTTTTGTTTTGGTTTAGTGATCAAAAATAAGTTTTTGCAACTTGCCAGAACCTACTCGGGTGAGCGGATGTTATTAGTAAGTGGTGGTGTTGGTGTTGGTTTTTGTTTCGGGATGTAACTGGGCTTTGTACGTCGTAAAAGATGGGCTTCGGAACTGGACAGCTTTTGTGGGCTTGTCCAAAATTATGTTGATATGGGCTAGTCCACTATGTCCTTGGCTTGAAGTGAGGTCTCAGTTAAAGATAAAAAATGCAAAATTATGAAATGGAGTGTGGGAATAGCCAGAGACAGTGAGCTTTTGTTGAATATGAACAGGATGTGTGAACCGAAGGAGAGAGAGTAGAGCAGGGAAGGTGTAAGGAAGGAGGGTGGCCGGGGGGGGGGGGGTCGTGTGAGTTGTATTGTATATATTATTATTGCAGATGGCATTCATCATACCCTCCACTCTCTGAATTATTTACATCCTGACAACGATTGATGTGTTTGTGTCAAACTTCTATCCTCATCTCAATTATTTTTCTGGTTCGCCTTTGTTTAACGTTTCATTTCATGACCATCCTTGCTTTCACCTAACCTGTCGCGTTCCCTGTTGACCTCTCGAAATTTATAATCCTCTTTAGTCTTCTCAGGATACCCCAAAAAAAAAAAAAAAAGAAAGAGAGAGAGAAAGAAAGTTTCCCTTCGGACATAGACTAGAAATTTCCTCTGATAATTTTTATATCTAATTTAATACTGAGAGCTTGGCTTATATTATACTGATTTAAGCAAGTGCCTTTTCTATTTGGGTTACTGGACTCGTAGTCGGCGACCTTTTCTTTCTTTCTTGTTTTTCTATTGTACAAATTGATATATAAAGGTGAAATGTAAAACCATTCAGAAAAAAACATCTATTTTTCGATCGATGAAATTCATATTGACCTGAAGCATCGCTGCTATTACGTGTTCCATGATTCAAAACTTGCTATGACATAACAAGTTGTTTAACTCAAGTTTACATCAACGACAAAAGCATGGCGCTGCAGAAGTTGCACTTTAACAATTAAAGAATATGATGACCAAAGCCATATGATCAATTCAAGTATTAAGCACATCGCTTTTGCTGATGTCTTGGGTGCGTACCCCTGATCACATTCCTTCCGTGATCCACAGAATGGATTCAAGCATTAAGCTCACTAGTGCTAAGCTAATAAATTTACATATAATTATGTAGTGTTTGAGGAATGTGCACTTGTAAATAACAGTATTTCAGAACAGAGTGGAGCCCACAAGGGCACATGGAGTATTGAACAAGGTAGAAGAAATGGGCTTAGGACTTGGAAGTCTGGTATCTCTGGTAAAGTAGGCTCCCTAGAAGACCAGTACCTGCGGTGCTCTTTAGTTTTCCCCTACAATTTAAAGTCCCCATGCACCTGATAACGTAAGAAATCCTTCACCTTCACCTTTCTTCCTCTAACTTCTTTCTCTTCCTCATCACGCGCGACCAAAACTCTGAACTCCTCGTTCCCTACCACATCCGACATGATAATCCAAACCCATCCTCAGATCAAGATTCCTGTGCCGATGAACTTGTTCCTGCTCGTGATTATTTGTGTCGTTTATACGGCTCCTCTGCTCGCCGCCGCCGTGGAAACAAGGAAACTTGATGACACCACCGTGCCTGCCACCCCAAACAGCGGCCAGAAGTGCACCCCATGCGATAATAACTCTCCCCCTCCCAGCCCTCCGTACTATCCATCACCGCCGCCTCCTCCACCTTCTCCGCCGCCGCCGCCGCCTACATATTATTACTCGCCGCCGCCTCCGAAAAAAACCCCACCGTCGCAGGATTGCCCTCCACCTCCCTCATCGATCCTATACATCACCGGACCTCCGGGCAACCTGTATCCCGTGGATGAAAATTTCAACGGCGCAAGCCGCCGGAGTTTTGGCTCTGCCTTGCCGCTTTTAGCTGGCTTATTGGCAGTGCTGGCCTTGTGGTGATCGGCGAATTGCCGATTACTGGCTTGTGAAAGGTATTAGAAAGGAATTTAATTTTTACAAAAGGCAGACCAGAATAAGTTTGTACTGTCAGGTTTTAGTTTTTAATTTACTACCAATCTACCATATTGTAATACTATTTCTTTCTGTTTCATCCTTCCGTGATCCCGATACTCGTGAATAAGTTCGGCAGCTTGTGTAGAAATTGAAGCTTCGATTCTCTTATCTCGAATTAATTGTCTGAATTTCGGGGCAGTTTTCATCCCAAACGTGATTCACGGTCTTACGGATCAGAATTCAGAAATGCCGTGGAACTTGGATAGCTGAATTGGAATGCATTTTTCAACATGCATCAAGAAGTCTTTTAAAAAAAAAAAATATGTAAAACCTATAATCGTTTGAAGGTGATATATAGAGTACAAGGAAGTGATTTGATGAATGAAGATAACAGATCATCCACCCAATTCCCAAACACAGCCTGTTCTCTCAAATTGCCGTGTGATGTTAGAAAAGGCGCATTAATTAAATAAATAAATTCAATTAGGTGGTCCAACGTCTCGGTGCTTTGAATGAATGCTTTAGTGAGGCGTGGCCTAGCATGTTCATATTTACACATGTCCAACTCGGCTTCATTCACTTTCTGGTCTCTTCACGTCTCCTTGAGTTTTAATTACAGAATACATGTGGCACGTTCCAATGTTTTGTTAAATTTTAACCGAAAAAGTTATCAGACTTTGGGAAGAAAGGGGAAAAGTATAGGTATACCAGGGACACCTCACACTTTCTCAAAACTTGACAGTATTATCAGAGAAGTTGTCAAACAAGACTCTTGAACAATGAAATTAAATAGTCATCTCTTTTTATAAGCATTATTAAAGAGTCGTCCTTAACAACGAACAGGATCATTGAAATGAAAATTAAGACAGATGCATTTTAAGGAAAAATGTCAATGGTGCTACCCTTTTATTGATCTTTAAAATATCAATGATAAGAGTGCATAATGGAAAGGACACGAAAAATATTACGTATTAAGTATTATACCCTAAATTACCATTGACCCATGCGTAACAAAATTTAGCGATTTGTTTATAGATCAATTCGATGGCCATTTATGTGTATCGAGTTAGGGTGCTTATTTTCAGTGGTCCATATTTCAATATTTAAGAGCATGTTTGGAATATTAAAGTTTTATTTATAAAATAGAGGAAGGAAAGAGAAATTTGTATATAAAAAGAATAGCATTGGATCACAAAATTATTTAGAATCCTGGGACCAATATGAAATGTCATCTAGCAAGTATGAACGATTAACAATGAAAAAAGCGATGTCCAAAAAGCAGACATTGCAAAAAGGGCCAGGGATAGAGACAAGACGCGTGACTAGTGTGAGGAATTTCATGGTTATCATTTTGGTAAAGTGGATATAAAATGAAGGAATAAACTATGGGTGCTGTATGGGATTATGATGTCAGAGTTCAATTGAATTTTATCGTTCCTGTGATGGGGAAGTACAGAAGGTGTCAGTGTCCTGAAAGATCAACTTCGATATTCACCAATCAAGTCATTTGTTAGAGGGACCTACATCGCAACGTTTCGCCCCTTAACTTAGTTTTACATTTTTTTTTTCACTGTTTTTATTAATCCATTTTTCAACAATAAAATTAACCCCGCTAGGTAAATTCTGTGGGGCGCGCCTCCTTCCCTGAGCCTCCTCAATGGATAATTGGATATACTATACGGTTTCTTCTTGACACGACTTGGGAGTGTTTAGTGTACAAACACATTCTGAAGCCGCAAGATAAGCCCAAAGTTGCATGAATCAAATTATTTATTAATATTTTATCCTATCAACATATTAATGATCGAATTTATTTAATACGGTATATCGGTTCATTCTAGATTGATTTGATCCTGATGTGGAAATTTTGATTTTTTTTTATTTTTTTGGAGTTAATGCTTCGCTTACTTTTTTATTATTAAAAGAATTATCACTTTTGATTTATATTTTTTTATAAGTAAAATTACTCATTTCAATAAATATTTATTATGTATTTTTTAAATCACTTTTCATAATTTATATTAACGAGAAATAATTAATGTATACTTATATTGATTAATATAGGATATTTTAGTCTTTTTGTATTTTCAGTATAATGATTATAGTTAATCAACTTTCTAAAAGTGTATGATTATAGTTTTTTTTTATCTTATACATAGAAACAAAGAAAGTATTTTATTTACTTGTAATTAATGTGATTAGCAACTCTAATCAATTTAACTACTAAAATATTGATACGCTACATAGAGATATCCAAATATTATTTTGGTCCCACTTTAGGCAATTTTTTTAATGGAGTTTAAATTGTTCCACATGAAAAAATTTTACAGGATTAAAAATATTGTCATGTATACATCAAATTTAAGAAAAAATAAGGCTTTAAAATCAGCAAATTAACATCATACAAAAGAAGTAAAAATAAGAGAAAGTATTGTCATTTCCGGTCATTCATTAACTTGCGTCTCATTATCAATATTAATAGTATGGTGGTCGATTATATATGATAAGTTCAGTATAACTTGAGAGATGATGGAAATTATTTTAATGCATTAGTAATACTTCAAATTAGGATAACATAAATTTAGTGTATCTATACTGCCAACCTGTTTCTGGAACTTTGGATACATGCTTATATGAGAAGACAACACTAACACGTCGAGCAAGAGGGGTCCCCTTTTTGTTTGTTTTTTGTTTTTTTTGTTTTTGGAAAAATTACGCTGTTGCATATCTTGGAATTTGCATGCGAGACTTTAGATTAAGCTGACTCACCCCCCTTTCCAAGTGAGCCAAGCGTGGTGGTCACGCAGGAGAGGTCTTTCACTGAATTGGATGCACCTAATTGGAGTAGTTAGTAACTAGTTAGAAGTATTTTTTCAATTCTCATCCATTTCATTATAGACTATTCTTTTGTTTGGTTTTTTGTCTATGTTGGGCGATGTCCTTTAACACCTTTCATCCAACTTTGACAAACCAATTGAGAAGAGGGGAGATAACACTTTTTTCCTCTTGGTTTGGTGCTCCGTCCACTGATTTATCGCTTCAACGTCGATCCCTCCCTTCTTTTCAATGGATCGTCTATCTTTCTATGCGACACTTATTTGACTAAACCAAAATAAACAGCCGGTGCATTATATTTGCAGACATGAACATCTAAGGTAAATAAATATTCTACCATTCAATTTTAAATAATTCAAATCAATCGATGACATCAGTAATTAACTACAAATTATTTAATTGTAGAGTTTTGTTACCTAAAAAGTATAGCATTTGTTGAATATTAGATAAAAGTCGTGCAATATAATTTAGATATAATGATTGGAGTGAAAACCCATTTCCCATTTAGGCCAACTTTGAAGGAAATGGACTTTCTTTGGGGGTAATGTTTAAGTAAAGTAAGATAATTTAAAGCGCTTTATATTTTTTTTCTATTTTACTTCTAATCTAATTCTTTTTCATAAAAATGAGAGACGTGTACGCCTATCCATGTATTCACACAAACTTGCTCATCCCAAAATTCAAAATTGCAATATCTCTCTTTGAAGGGGGAAAAAAAAAGGTGTGGTGGCTTAGGCTTGAGTTCCATTTCCACCCTACTGCTTGCGTACTGCGCAGAGCAGTGAAGAGTTGAGAAATGCACGGCGTCGTAATTAGGAAAGTGCAAAAAAGTTGGGAGTCATGTTCATAGCAGATTCTTCAGCTAGCCTCTCGGAAATTTCCGTCTTGCTCATTAATTTTCCGACCGACATGGACGTTAACCAATTCACAAAGAAACGTCGCACGGCAAGCAAGAATTGACATGTATAGTTTCCCTTATTTCGGTATAATTCAATTCAATACCAAAATTAATACGTTAATTTTATTGAAATGTAATCTAACTTAACTGAAAATATGGATGATAAATTTTTAATCGCATATCACTTGTATGGCTCACTAGTACTTTGCAGTTGGCACCGTATTTGCAGTTTTTTTTTTGGTCCTATACTTTATTTTTTTCAACTATATTAATATTAATGTTAATTAATATCATAAATATGTTTACCTATTTTACTGGCTTTTTTAAGTTTACCTATTTTACTGGCTTTTTTTAGTTCAGTTCTATTGATCTCGAGGGTTACTAATCATGCATATCATATGCAATGTGTAAGTTATGGAGAGACAAAAGCTCTTCATTTTGAAGTAATGCATTAAGGAGAAAATAATTGAGGTGTTAGATTAATTAGTAAGGGAATCTTGGAAAGTTGAGGACTGGTGCGTGAACAGACAGAAGCAAACAAAAAGGAACAACTAATAACGTATGTTGAGGGATTGAAATCAAAGGTTGGGAATGTTGAAGGCCAACTATCAGTGGCCATTACCACTACCACACGTCAACTTAGGAAAACCGATACCAACTATACCACTTTTAATTTCCACCGACACCACACCAACCCAAGCCTTCCTTTTTGATTTTCAATACACTTACTTATGTGGCCTATCAATATTTCAGTTTCACTTGACTGTTGACACTTCAATTTTTTCAAAGAAAAACTTTTCTAGTAATAACATTGCAAAGACTTTGACTTACCCTTGGTCCCAGTAAATAAAAGAAAAAAGCGCGGCTTCAACAACCCTTTTTTGTTTGTTTATTTTATCAAAGTTTACATCACTATTCAACAACCCTTACCGCATGAACTATGTTGAAGTGGTGGTTAATTATAAACTTTAACTATTACTGTTTATGTGTTAATCTCGAGGAAATAACTCAATATTCATACTCTTGCTAATTTGAATAAGCCTAAAAAAATCAAACCAAGCCCAGTTACAAATTTATTTTTTTAAACATATATATTATTAAATATTAATTAGTCCCTTAATTTTTAGTTTATTTTACATCGAGAGACCTATTTGAGTATATTATTATATATTTTTTAAAAAATTTAAAACATTCACGCTAATGCGTTATTATATTTTTATTATTTTAAATCTATAAAACATCTTTCAAAGATATTAAAAATATATTTTAATCTTGATTTTTAAACTATACGACCCACAAATTTTGTTTTTGAAAAATTTGAGTCTTTTGTACTGCTAAGTATCCTAAAATTATATTATATATTTTTTATAATATAAACATAATTAATTTTAAAGTAAAAATTGAAATTTATTTTAAAAAATTTGCTAATTTATGTATTTGGG